GTGGTGGTGTCGCAGAGAGAGACGGGAGGAAGAAGGTTATGGGTTAATGATTTTAGGGTTTGAGATAGATATAAATTAATTTATTGTAAAAAAAAATTAATTTTTTTTTTAATTATTAATTAAAACCTGATTTTTGAAAAGTGGAACTTGAATCAGGATTTATGAAAATGAAAATCTAAAAGCAGGTGTAGGTGTAATTTCCTCTTTTTTTTAAAATAAAAAATGTATAAAATCTCAAATCGAAGCCCGCGACCCTAGCCCAATAAGTTGTAGCAACACCGTGGACTTAAGTTCAAATCCACGAAGAGAAAGGTCCTCCAAGCCCAAGCCCAAGCCCAAACCCGCCAATTAGCCGAAGTAAAACCCACGAGGCTTCTCCAATTCGTTCCTCGGAAAAGCTCTCCCACTTGGTACATGCGTTTTCTCCAATTAATTCTCCATCTTGATTTTAATTCGATTAAAATCTCACTTCTAGTTTTTGATAGATTGATTTATTCTTGCTCCCGTTGATTGATGCATTTGAATTGTATATTGATTTGAATTTTTGGGGGCGTAATATTTTAATATTATTTCTGTTTTTTTTCTCTGTCTCGGATCTTTTTGAAAATAATTGGAGTTATAACCGATTGTTGATGTATTTTTATGAATTTGAAAAAGTCTCAGTTTAACAGAATCGTTTCTCTCTCTAGTAATTTGAGTTGTTTAGACAGAAATTCTCCTTCAGATCTGTAAATTCCACCAAAATATCAAGTTTATGGTCCTCCATGAATATCAGCATTTGAGATTTACAATTTGAATTCTTTACGGCTAATGTGAGTTCTAATGGTCATTTATAATCTCGTTAGATGCAGAATTTCGAATACTAAGCTGTGGCAAGGTTTTGTCATTCCAAAGTAATCTCCAGATATTTTGATCTCCATGGCCATGAACTCTAGAAGGTTTCTGCCTCTAATTTTCTTATTACTTAAATTATTAACTATTCGTTTAAATACTGTACCTTGCAATTGCATTACTGTTTCAAATTGCTTTTATCTACAAGATAAATTTGAAAATTATGGATTAGGAAGGCTCTGAAATTTTGTATGTAGCATTGATTGACTTTTATTTGACATAGTTTCATTGTTATGGTGGAGATGTACTAAATTATAAGTGCATCAAATATCTACTTTTAGTGCTTATGAATTTCAAGTATTTTATTTGTTTCTTAGATGATTGATGCTAGTGAAACGTGTCAGGATTTCTAAAACTTTTTGTATCTATTTTCTTTCATAAAGTAGTGTGGGTTTTGACTCAATTGCTACATGAGAGCAAAGCATTTTAAGAACTAAAATTGAGTACTTTACTTTTCTGGATAAATGACAAAAAATATTTGTGTCTCAAGGCTAATATAATTCTGGGATTATTTAGTTGGATTCAGTTTATGCTGGTTTAGAACTAATGAAGGTCCTGATTATTCAATCAATTGAACTTGAGTATGTTCGAAGTATTGGTGTTCCTAGGTTTTGGAGTTGCCTATTGTAGAGAAAGGGAAACAATGCATAATATAAGTGTAGATATGGTTTAACAGAGGTGACCTTGACCACATGAATTCAACTGGAATTCATTTTCCTAAGGTTCTCAAAATTGTGACATCCAGAGAAGATCATCTTCTTAACCATTCTAACTATATCCATTAACAGTAAAACCAAAAGAGGTAATTTCTAACGAAGTATTCGTGTTGTTGATTTCTTGGTGTAGTGCTTCTTCCCCCAACTATTTTAAAAAGTAGAACAGATAACTGAGAATTTCTCTGTTCTTATTGCATAACATTCTAATGCATAAGAGATGTATTATGCTTTTCAATCTTGTGCGTCAATACCGTATTTGGTTGGAATGATGAAGTGAGGCCAGACCCCTAGTGTATATTCTTAGTAACATCCTGCAAAATCAATTGAATAAAGGATTGTAACACCACAAAAAAATCCAAATCGTCACCTGCTTTATATAAAATGAAGATGAAATTGACAATAAGATATTACATATGTTCTTTATGAATCAATTTTGAACCTTAAGCTATGACACTTGTTCTCCCCTTCTTCACCATATTGACACTAATGGTTTGTCGTAAAACAGAGTGAAAGGGTTCATCTAGAAAGCAAAGGGACCTTCAGGCTTCAGATAGTTATTTTCTTCATACATATTGTTCTGTTTACTATAAGAATCTTAGCTGTGAATATCTCAGTTCTGCAAACGTGTCATAGTTGGGGATATATTGTAAATCCTGTAAATTACAAGACCTTTTAACCCCTGTAACTCTAAGCTCTTGAATCTGAGGAGCATCGTGCATTAGAATTTTTACTGGTGGTTTATGGAAATCAAGTTTCTTATGTACATTATTCACAATTTAGTCTTTTCAAGTTCGTTTATAAAATGTTTGAAGAACCTGTTCTTTACTATTCTACTGTTCTAGCACGTCACTATGCCTCTTCTAATTTAGGGAGCGTAATGCTAGAGTTGCTCTTTTTGATGGTATTGAGGAAGGGGGTATCAGGGCTTCATCTTCTTATTCCTCTCGTGAAATTGATGAACAAGAGAATGACAGAGCAATAGATGGGTTGCAAGACCGAGTTAGTCTGCTGAAAAGAGTAAGTTTGTATTTGCTGGAATTGATTGTTACTTGGTGCAAAAAACAAAATAATTTCTTACCGTGTAGACGGGTAAATAGCAAAGTTGTGCTATTTATTTGAAATTTTTATCTCTGAAGCATTCAGGAAAAATGGATAAGTTGGCTATTGTATGAAATAGCTTTATTTTATTATCTCAAGTGTGGGTTCTTACCTTTTTAACAAGTGAAATGTATTTTAAATGGATTAGGTGCACCTTTTGGTAGATTGGAACTATTGAACTGTCGATTTTTCCTATCCAAGTGTTAACCATGCTCTACATGAACAGTTGTCAGGTGATGTACACGAGGAGGTTGACGCTCATAATAGTATGCTGGACAGGATGGTGTGTATACCGGAGAAATATTTCCCTTATCTTGAGTACTTATTAAAAGTATTATCGTTATGCACTTGATTTTTTCTAACTTCTGGTTTTTAGGGCAATGACATGGATGCTTCAAGGGGAGTTTTATCGGGAACCATGGATAAGTTTAAGATGGTATGCAAGATCTAACATTTACTCTGTTGCCGTTAGTTTTACTTTTCCTCTGGGTACTTAATTTTTCAGTATGAGTATGTTACTTTGTGCAGGTATTCGAGACCAAATCAAGCCGGAATATGTTTACACTTGTGGCATCGTTTGTGCTAATTTTTCTCATTATTTACTATCTCACTAGGTAAGCGATGATAAAAATGTGAGAAATCTGTGACTTCTTATGGAACCACGATTTTTCATGACTGCTTCATTGCCATAGTCAACATCACCATCGGAATGCAAGATGTTATGACCTTGTAATCTGTATAGTAGGACTCCCATGCAAACGTTTGTGCACTTCAATACTTTGGCTTTTATCAATCTATGGATGTTCGACAGTAGATATGAGAATGGAAAGAATATGTTCGTCTCCAATGTTTAGAAATGGACATTTTAGTCCTCAATCTTGCTGCTCAATTCACAATTTTCGCAATTGTCAACCATGTTGCCAGATAAGTTTTTGAGTTTCTGAAGTTTTAGTTAGATATATTGTAAATTGCCACTGGGTTTCTCAAATTACTTGAACTCAACCCATCAAAAGTTGAATAAAAATAAAAATCAAAATTTAAGTACTTAAAGGAAATGTTAAATAATGTGTAAAGGTGTAGCAGGGGTGCGATGGGGCTTCGAAAACCAGGTTTGGGGCTAGGGAAGGGCGCGGGGTAGGTCCTTGGATAGGGGTGGATTGTGTTGGGCTAGAAGATAAAATTTTATGTTTTTCTTTAATCTTTTCTTATCATTTGGAACTACAACAAAATGTTGAAAACTTAAATATTTTACTCTGAAGGCGAAAACGGAAGATGGTCAATAGCTTGTGAACCTATGCATTTATTCAGTGATATCTTTAGCCTTTAGAGCTTAATATCCTGTTCCTGGCTGCTTTCTAAAAGATCATTCTAGGCACGGGGCACAGAGAAAAAAGTTCCATCCAATGCCAAAGCTTGAAAAAATGTGGTCAATTCTACGTTCACTTCCTAAGGTTAACACGTTTTTATTTGGCAAGTTGTATTTTCTTGTTTCGAACAAAAGACGCAATCATTGCTAAAACTTAAAAAGAAAATATATCCAACAAAAAATTCGCCATAGTCCAAACTCAGTCCACGAACATAGGTTTTTTTGGTCTATGAACAAAATATTATTGTTTTGAGGTATTTATGGTTTTGAGAATTATATTTTTGTTGGTAATTTGAAAATATATATGAAGTTTCTATTAATTCTCAAGGCATGCTTTATTTTTTAATTTATTGGTCTAGAATAATAAAGTAATATTAGAAATCTAGGAAAACGTCTAGACTCGTAAAAATTGAGGCTTGACCTCCACATTTGGTCATGTCTTACAAATTTTAGAACATTGGTCGATAAATTTCATAGGCTAAAAAGTCAAATTTGTGTTTGGAAGTGCTAGTAACACATGTATACCTAGATGAAAAATGAAACAAAATGGGTATGTAAACTTTCAATGAACATGCAATTGGTTACTTATCTTTAATTGGGCAATCAGATCATTCAACTTTGATTTGTGAACAACTGTAGTCACTCCATATATTGTCGTCAGTCTAACTCGATATGCTAGCGAGGACTTTAAAATTAATGGAGATGATGCATATGAAGAATAAAAACGATTTGTTGTTTAATGAGACAAAAATATTTGTTTTTTATTCAACATTTTTTTGAGGAAAAAGCTGGGTGTACACCATTGGTGTACACTCTTGTACACAGTCCCCTCACAAGTAAAATAATTGTGGCCCCCACCTATGTTATGAGTGGGCTGTGAAAGTTGGTGTACACCATGGTTTACATCAAACACTTCTCTTTTTTTTAAGTGTCTTTTAAAGTGTCTTAAGATAGGCGACATCCAATGTTGCGTGATGTGGAAATACACGTCATCCCTCTGTTGGATTGAACATTTATGTCAACATATTACGTCAATTAGATTGATGGCGTTAGATAGAGCAAATACTATTGGACGCAAGTTAAAGTTGAGTGAACTGATAGCTCAAAACTAAAGATTAGTTGCATGGAAGATGAACCGCCAATGAGTTTAAGAATAAGCACAAACAATCAACAATGGCATCAGTAGAATGGTAACCTGCTACAGTACAGAGCTGGGCCTGGGTTCATTCCTGGCTGGTGCATATGTTTTTTATTTTTTCCATTCTGTGTCATGTGTGCGCGTTTATAATTAAAGGACTTCTGGCACCGTTCGCCCCCAACTTTTGCGAGATGTTACTAATTTACACTCAACTTTTTCTATGATTGTGCTAATAAGGTTCGCATTTTTGTTTGTTAATATAAAAGAGGGCCAAAAACGGAGAAAATCAAAATAAATTAAAAATAACTTGCACAAGATCTACTGCGTTTACAAAGGGAGGGGCTGTTTTTGTTGGAGAATTTGAATAGTGAAATGGTTGTTTGTTTAATTCGCAAGAGAATGGTTAAATTTAATTCGTAGAAGCGTAATTAAACTTTATATAAATAGAAATGAAAAGAAAGTGAAGAAGAGAAATCTAAGACAAGTGATTAACATTTTCTCCTTAAGACAATTGTTCAGTAATGACGCTAATGGATTACGACATTTGCCTTTCAAGATACAACGTATAAAACTTGTGGTAGAAAACACTTCAAATCACAAGCAACAACGAACTCGAACAATTTTTCTTCTCTTTACAAGAAAATAATTTTGGAATGAATTTTAGAATGCTCAATGCAAATGATATTGTCCAGGAATGCTCAATTGTCAAGGAATGCTCAATGCAAATGATATGAGATGCATAATGGACGTCCAAATGTTCTATTTATAGAAGATGAGAGATTGTCAGTGAAGAGACACACCCCAAAACTCAGCAACCTTCACAAAAGGAAGTATTCCTTGCTGTCGCTGGCATCTCGCTTGCGCGCCTCGACTCCTGTTCAACGGAAACTTTTCCACCCTTTTGTCGCTCGAGCGATAGCTTCACCACTAGCCTGCGGCAATGCTATATGATTTTTTCCTCTTTTCCTCGTTTTTCTTCTTATTCATCCGAAATTGGTTTTGAGATTCCAAATATACTATGACGAGTAAAACAAGTTAGTCTATTTATTTTTATAGTTGGACTATCAAATCAAATCCGAATATTTGGCTGAAATTAATACGAAGTCACTTTTCAAGTTTTGTACGTAACCAAATTTTTCAATCTTTAAACCAAATTCCAAAGGTTTTACTATGGCCAACCTTAGAGCAACATACAAGGAATAAAACTCTCAAATTAAGCTCAGAATGGGGAACTGTAACGAAAGCAGAGTACAAGAAAAATGCTGCAGTTTTTGGTCAAAAATAACTAGAGAACAAAACCCGACCTAGAGTTTAGAAAACTATATGTAACCCATTTCTCCGGCGTACCTTCCTCGTCCGAGAAAAATAAACTGGTACTTCTCTGCAATCTTTATCATGATTCAGCGAACTTCAGGCAGACTTATAAGATACATCTTCACATTGTCTTTAAACACTGTATATCAAATTAAGATGCTTGCTCATGGTTCTTGGTTCAACTCTTCTTCTGGTCATGCATCTGGAGAAGTTACCAATGAAAACTTGTGATGGCAGAAGGAAAAAGAGAGATTTTGAACGCTAGGTGAGATGGTAAAAATCATGTATTGGATTTTGGTAAATGATTAATCTGCCAAGGATTAAGTTCTGATCCATATTTTACGGGAACAATAAAAGAAACGAATAACAAGCAAAGTTGATAAGCATAGAGTCCCGCATGGCAGCACATAAATTCAATTTCCTAATATCTAAATAACATGTAGCATAGCTACATATGTAATTCCACACTACAATAATGTTCAGTAAATGCTTGCTTACCAATTGGGAAACACACGATCTCAAGGAATTGATATGCATCTCTTTTTTAACTCAATTTTTCGTAATTCTTGTAGCTGATTAGCTATTTCATGAATAAACTGTAATCCATCCTTCCCATTTCTGAGCGTATTAAAAGCATGGTTGAGGAAATCACAGTCGGTTTCAAGTGCTTCCAACTGGTGATGAAGGTCTGCAATTCCTTTCTCAAGTGTAGCCAAGTTTATTCGACCTCTATTCATGGACAATTCACACCTATCACTATCCAAAGTATCACCCCTTTCTGTAACAAAATGATTGTCCTCGACCAAATCAGAAGGCATGTCCTGTGTAGGACTTCCATTTGATCCTGATACAACTTTTTGCAATGGCAAACCATTATTCTGAATATGTTCACCTAACTGAGTCTCCCCATCAATAGATAAGTTGCCCATATCATCAACTTCATTCATAATTTTTTTGGAGTATACACAATCTGGCATGTCATTTGATATCCCATTGGAGGTAGCTTGATGAAGCTTTTCTTCCAACTTCTTCAAACATTCCAAAATGTATAGTTTTTCATCCTCGAAATTTAATATCGAAATATTCACAAGTTTAGATTTTCCGCTACCTTCTAAAATTTCCATAGATTTTGAATTACTAGGATTAGCAGGACTACTCTCGGCGTGATTCTCAACTATAAAGTTTTCTTTCTCCGATTTAAGCAGATTCTCAGCCATTGAATCACTTCGGAAATTACTTGTGCAAAACTCTAACTCTGCTTCCAAATCTTGCACTTCCTTCTCCTTTTCAGCCAGGAGTTCATTAGCCTTCTCCAGTGCTTCCATATCATGCTCTGCTTGTTCCTCCATCATTCTTAAGTATTGCAAGGCTTCCATATGAAGTGCAGACTTTTCCTCTTGCAATCTTGTAATCATGGCCATTGCCTGATTTGCAGCAATGGCAGCTGCATTTCTTTCTTCCTCCAACTCCTTGTATAAAGCACTCATACAACTCCTATCATACAAAACCTGTCGTTTTAGGTGATCAACAACACTTTCACCTTTGATTTCACCTACACTGACTCCATCAAATGATTCGCAGCCAGAATCATGTCTCTCCAGCGAGGGTGAAACCGGAAGAGCACGAGGACTAGAATCTTCACATTTTGGAAGTGCACCAAGTTGACTATGAGCTTCCAGACTCGTAGTTTTTGATGTTAGACCCATGTTAGAACTAGACACCTGTTGCAGAGACTCTGTATCCTCTTCAATTTTAGCAGAATCGCTGATAACAATTGGCTCCGTACCTTCATTATTTGGAGATGATGCATCAGTAAGATTCGTATCATTAGACACTGGTATGAAAACATGCTCTGAGGAGCTTTCTGTTTCAGCTGCTGCATTTTCTTCGTAACTGGTTCCCGCAACATCTGTCACTGTAAACCCAGTTCATGAGTAAGAAATAAATCACATGAACAATAATAAAAATTGCTTGAATTTTATGAGTGTGAATCATGTACTTAAACCTCTGGGTGGATTGAAAACATTTGTCATTACTGAACATTGAGCAAATTTTCAAATTGATCACTGAACTTCATTTTCTTCAAAGTTGAGCTCTGAATTTAATTTTGTTTGAGTTGGCCATGAACTTCAAATATTTGTTACAATTTATTCATTCCATCCATGTACGTTAGTTTCACTAGCTGATGTAGCAGTCCAATTGGCAAATAACTAGACTTCGATGTCATATTTTCCGTTAGTCACGCTAATGGCTATGGACAGAGTGATCAACTTCAAACGAAAGTTCAAGTTGAGTGACCAATGTAAAATATCCCTAGAAGTTTAGTAACTACCAGTGTATTTAACTCTGTGGGCACACAGGCACACAGGGGAGGAACTGGAGCTTACTGTTTGGTTGTTTTGTTTCAGTATGGGTCGAGGAAGGAACATTGTTCAGTGAATGAAGCTCAGATGGTACGGAGAGGGTAGGCATATGAGAGAGAGAAGCATTGCATTTATTTGTTTCTACAGATGCATCAAGAGGAACTCCAACAGCTGGTGGTTGGAATCCATCACCCAATGATATCAGCTCTGCCATTTGATATAAATTAGGCTCTGAATGAGAATGGGCCAAATTAAGCTCATCTTTTGTCACAGATATCGTATTCTTGAGCTCACTTACATCACACAGAACTGATTGATCAAGAAGTGAAGTTATCGGTTCAGAAGCTCGATGTGCCTGCTTTTCTGATAACACATTTGCATTTGGTGTTTTAGGTACATAATTCTCAGTATAATCATTTCTTCCACGAAGTCTAGATTTTCCATCATTGTCATCATCAGAGAGAGGGACCTCCGAATCAGAATCAGAATCAGAAGCAATATTCAACTTTGTATACCCCACATGAGACAGCGTGTCAACACTCTTGCTCCTGGCAGGCTGATTTTTCACTTGTCCCGCATATTTATCTCTTAACCTCTTGAAGCTATCCCGACGGCAGAATCTACTACGACCCGGAACACGAGGAAGAGGGGGCTTGACATTAGCTTTAGATGCCCCAAACCCAACTGAAGTTAGTTCGTGTAATCTTTCAGCATTCAATTTTTCTTTCCATGTCTTGTTACAACACGAACAAGTCCTTCGACCCAAAGAAACAAGCTGTACATTCTTATTCAACATTAAATTCTGTAGAACAGATCTCTCAACATCCACCAATAGTTTACCCACCAATAACCTATGCGATTCAGAATTGGATTTGTTCTTCATGGCAATTGGCATTAGACATTCTTCACACATCCCATTAACATCAGCAAGTTTACTGTGAACAGAACACGATACTAGAGATGAAATCTCTTCTATGTGGTCACTACATAATACGCTCTGGTACCCTCTAGGTTTCTTATCCCTGATGACAATATCAGGCCTCGAACATAACAAACATGGTGTTTTCAGTTCACAATAATTAGCAAATTTTGCAAGTAAATATGAAAATGCTACATCCACAAACAGCAGAAATATCAAGAACCATTCACAAGCTGCAGATGACAAGAGCGTCATGAAATCCCAAGGTTTCCTCTTTTTAGCCGATGAAATCTCAGCAGCCATTGCAAAAAGTATTTACCTCAGAAATTACACGAGGTCTTCACTTAAACAAACCATCGAATACTTCTCGGTCGATCTATAACACGAAAGTTTGAAAACCTCTCTTCGTGAAATCAACATTCTCGCATCCACTGAACATTAAGAAAAATAAAAACATGGGTAAAAAAAGAAGTAGAAGAAGAAAAGAAGAAATATGGTTGAAATGCATTAGCCAACAGAAGTTCAAGCAAACCCAACAGGGGAAGAATTTGGGTTCATAATTGAAGAAATAAACGACAACCCATTTCTCTGAACAAGTATAAAAGCAACCTAAATTCAACAAATTTGTGCTACATTTTGCTCATAAAATAACGAAGAATTCCAAAAGCCAAACCCTAAATTTCTTTTAATTCATCATAAATTGAAATGGGGGAGGATCGACTACAATGTATATTCGAACATTAACAGGACGACATTGCAAAAGGAAAACATGAAATTAAAAGAATTGCATTATGTATTCATGCAGTGGTATGCATACATACTGATAGAATTATTGAAAGAGAGTACCTGTATTTGTTACAGGAAATGAGGATCAAAAGATGATGATGATCATATCAGAGCCATGAAATGAAATCATCCTTCAAACACAAAAATGGAAATGGCATAAAATTACAAAGAGATCCTCGTCGTGAATAATGATTGACCGTTGAAACGAACTGAATATTTTAGAATTTTCCCAGCTTTCATGTAAAGAAAAAAAGAAGGGATATTCCTCCAACACATGCACAATTTACATGACATAATACTTGGCCCATATTTGGTGGATCCTTTCCAAATTCATTTTTTTTTACTCATTTTCAATCGCACAAATAAAATATAAAATCTACTCATTCTTTCTGAACAATTTACCAAATAGGTACTTAAATTAACTAATATTATATCAAATGGTGCATTTATGTAGTATAACTTTTACATGTTGTATTAAATGTACTTTATTCTTTATACGCTCGACTAATAAAAATTAAATAAGATAATTTTATTTATTTACTTATTATTTAATATTGTCTATTTAAATTTAGTATAATAGACAATTGAATAACTTTAATTTTTGTTAACAAGTTGTCACAACCCAACCCGACAGATACTTAATTAGATTGAATTTCAACCTCTACACAAAGTTAGATTGAATTAAATTTTGATTAAACCGATCATGTAAAATTGAATTTAAATTGAGGCAAAAATCAACCCGACCCGACCCGACCCTAAGCATAATACCGCTCAAGATGGAAGTTGATATGAGCGTTTTTCAACCCTAGCTTGCTAACGAAGTGTTTAATGAATATTATTAAAAATATATATATTTTTTTTGAAATAGCAAAACCCATTAAAAAAATAGAAGATTATGTAAACTACTGTTGGCATAAAAAACAGCTATTCACAATGGAAAAGGTCCAAGGCGAGTTTACAGAATTATCCTACAAACGATAGTTATTTTCAATACTACCCCTCACTTCTTTCCCTTCTTAGCTACTTTCTTTGCGGGAGACTTGACGCCCTTCGGCTTCACGCTCCTAGCCGAGGCCCTCTTAGCTGCTGCTGGAGCCGCTGCCTTCTTTCCAGGAGTACTTCTAGTCGAGGTCCTGGCTACCTTAGCTGGTGGCTTCTTTTCCGTCTTTGGCTTTGCTACTGCCTTTCTCTTGGCAGCTGCCTTTGCCTTAGGCGCCGCAACAGCTTTAGGTTTTGCAGCTGGCTTAGCCTTAGCACTTGGCTTGGGCTTGGCAGCAACCGCCTTCGGCTTTGGCTTGGCTTTTGAAGGGATAGCCTTCTTGCCAGTGGTGGTTTTCACAGCAGCGGCTTTCGGCTTGGCAACTGGAACAGTCTTTTTCTTAACCGGTGCAGTAGATGCTGGCTTCGGAGCCGATGAACGAGCTGGGGGAAGCTTGTAGGAAGCCTTATGTTTGACCAGCCTTCCAGAAGCCACGAGCTTCTTCAATTGAACCAGCAAAAGCCTCTTGAAATTCGCTGCCAGATTCTTCTGCTTCTCCTCAATGAACTTTGTAATTGCGTACTGGCTAGATCCAGTCCTATCTTTCAACGTCACGATCGCATCTTCAATCATCTGAAACACAAATGCACCAAAATAAAACTCCAGATCCAATATTCAAAAATGAAAATTCCAAATAAAAATGCAAATAAAAGTATAAAACGATCGAATACCTCAAGATACGGAGGGTTGCGTTTTCGCAGGACAGCAGCAGCATTTTTTGGCTTGGGTTCCTTTTTGGTGGTGGTTTTCCTAGACTTGGTTGTTTCAGCCGGATGGTTTTCTTCGCCGGTAGGTTCGTCAGCGACAGGTTCAGCCACAACCTCCATGGGGAGAACTGGTTCTTCAGTGGCCATAATGCTAATGCCAAATCGTAAAACTATGACCAAGTGTGGGAAATTGAGAATCTGTATACCGATCCCAATGGAATTTCTCGAGGTTTGAGCGATAATTAATGGGAAGAAATGGGCAAGGTTAAATAGTGAGCGTTAGGGGTCTAGTACCCGAATGCTGAAAGCTGATTGGCTAAAAGGCCATTGAGACGGATCGAGACTTAGGCTGAAGTTTAAACTAGGCCGTCAGATGAGATTTAATCTAAGGTTTGTAATTTAGATGGTTCAGACTTGGGGATTGGAATGCATAGAACAAGTTGTTTTGTGGCCATAGAGGTGTGTTTTTGTGCTTGATTTAACTCGGAATAAATGGATCTAGATTTGACGGATTTTGGTGAACTTTTTTTCTATATTGTAGGAAATTTCGTAAGCTTTCTGAATAATATTCATTGGAGTCGTGATGGTTATTCGTTTGAAAGATATTTGATTCAGAATGAAAAGTGGTTGAGACGAGGTACTATTGGAGCATATTGTGGTTTTTGAGCTTTGTATGATAATGCTGAAACAAATAGCTGGCTTTAACATCAGATTTGATAGGATGTTAACAGACGAGTCCGTAAACACAAGAATTGTGCAAATCGAATCGTATTTTGGCTGGAAACGAAAGTTCAAATTGGATCAATATAAACATTTTACGCTAGTGGTGTATTAAATTTCTTCTAAATCATACATGAAATTGCAACTATACTAGTTTCATTTAAAAGTACAAGATGCAACGATGTTCCATTGAGACCATTTTATTTTATTTTTCCTTTTTTCCTCTCTATCTCGTTCTCGGTCTTCCATTAAGGCCAAGTGCACAAATTACAACTCCAAACATAAAACCTTCACAGTTTGTCTTGAGATCAAATTCCGATAACAAATCAACTATTAAACTCATGAAGCAATGATCTTTACGTCATTTCATTCCGCTAACATTAAAATTAGCATTTCGT